CTCAATGGAAAAGTACCCCCTCCAGGACCCTCAGGGCCCGGCCCCATCCATAGTTTCCTCAGGAAGTTTGGGGCGCTCCCTTTCCCTGGGCAAGTCGCCCCTCGCCTGCTCTGTGCCTTAACTTATTCTCGGGCTCTGAGGCTCCTGGGTTGGTGGTGTCTTGTGCTAATAAAAGGGGTAGTTATATCCAGCAGAGAATTGTGCTCTCCTTCCAACCCCGCTCATCAGCCTGGCCACAGCCCCCTCCCACAAAGGCTGAGAAAAGGGCTGACCCTGGGACCCAAGGGCACCCCGACCACCCATCTCCCCATGTACACAGGACAGCCCTGAAGCTCCAGACTTGCTCGGCTCCGCGGTAGGGGCCAAGCTTAGCCTGGGAGTCTTCAGCCCTGAAATTTACAGGGACATCTTCCAGCCTCTCACTGCCCCAGCCCTTAGCATTGTCCGTCCTGCCCCTGTTTTCAACTGTAAGGGCAGCATTAGTACCTGCCTTGGCCAAGGGCACTCAGAGGACGCAGGCCCGGGTCCTGGAGGCTGCTATCCTGGTTCCGGTCTGTTTCCGGAGCCCTGGGCTGCCTCAGCCAGTTCAGAATGTGGGCCACGACAAGGCGTGGCCCAGCCCCTCCACCCACTGCCCTACTTGTTAGGCCTGGGAGTCGGGAGAAATAGGAGACAGAGGAGAGGACATGGGAAGTAGGACACTGTCATGTATGACAGACAGTGCCCCTCTGTGAACAAAGACTCAGGAGCACAGAACATTAGGAACAGACCATCTCAGAATTCTGAAAAATCCGAGTGTATCAGAATCCTAAGAACCAGGAAACAAAACCTCTGCAAAGCCTGAAATTGGAGATCATAATAGCTACCATTTAGCAAACTCAGAAGGCACCAGGGCCTGTGCTGAGCACTTAACAACCAGTTGTTTCCCATCCTCACCTCCTCAGCCCCATTTCACAGATGAGGAAATTGAGGCCCAGAGAGATTGACTCACCAGTGGACCAAGTTAGGAACATAACCTAGGGCTTCCATGACTCCGGTGGGGAGGAGAAGGTCACTAAGCTGGTCACGAACTGGGAAACTGAGGGTCTGGATGGACAGGTGTGGGCTGATAAGACCCTGTTCATGTAATTACGTGTTTACAGTCTGTCTCCCCCAGTAAAAACGTGAGTGCCATTGAGAAGAAACTTGGGCCCTGGCTGGTGTGGCTCAGTAGACTGGGCGCTGGCCTGGGAACAGAAAGGTCGCTGGTTCGATCCCCAGTCGGAGCCCAGGCCTGGATTGCAGACCAGGTGCCCAGTTGGGGTTGTGCGAGGGGCAACTGATCCATGTGTCTCTCACTGAGGTTTCTCTCCCTCGCTTCCTCTCTTCGCCTCTCACTAAAAGTAAATAAATAAAATCTTTTTAAAAATTTTACTTGAAGAAAAAGGAAGGACCTGGCTGGCCTGGCCTGACTTCCTCTGAGTATGCAGTGGACAGGACGGTGCCTTTTGATTTCCGTGACTTTGTTGAAAAAGGTGGACACACAGGTCCCTGCTCTCACTCCTGCTCTCCTGCCCCCCCCCACCTTCCCACCCTCAGCCCCTGTCAAGGCACTTTCGGGGTCACTGCTTGGATGCAGGAACTCCTAAATGAGTGGTTCTCCAAGCAGCTGAAATGAAAACCAATTTTCATTCCTAGCTTCATCATAGGCCAATACATTAAGATAAAACAAAAACTAGAAAAGTGAAACAAAAAAAAAACCATACAGAATCAAACCCACAGTTTGTTACCAGATTTTTCAGACATAAAATTACATTTCAATAAATATAATCAGAACAAATACAGGAAAAAATCACAAAAAACATTCATTGAAAGTCTGCAAATCAGCAAATTATTATGCAGAGTTGCTACTATGGTCATAACTTTTTGTTTTTCCACAATCTTAACACAGCTGTCCCCGCAGGGGGATTCTCCATAGTATACGACCATTATGTCAGGAACCAGCAAACTAGCCCACAGACCCAGTACAGCCCCTAAGCTAAGAATGGTTTTCACATTTTTATAATGGTTGGGAAAAAGTCAAAGAATAATATGATTTGTGGCACATAAAACTTTATACAATTTGCCCTGGCTGGTGTGGCTCAGTGGATTGAGCTCAGGCCTTCAAGCCAAAGGGTCGCCAGTTCCATTCCCGGTCAGGGCACCTGCCTGGGTTCCGGGCCAGGTTCCCAGTAGGGGGCGCTTGAGAAGCAACATTGATGTTTCTCCCTCCATTCCCCTCTCTCTAAAAATAAATAAATAAATTCTAAAAAAACTTTATACAACTCAAATTTCAGGGTCAGTAAGTCAAATTTCATTGTTTTTGAGCAGTTCCATTTGCTTACACGTGACTCGGGCAGCGGCAGGCTGCGTGGCTGCAGCGGGAACCGGGCGGTCCTCCGAGCCTCGCCTCTTTACTGTGCGGCCCTTTTGCGAAAACCTTTGCCTGCCCTTGAGCTCCAGGGGCCCTTCAACGGAACACGGAATTGAAACGTTTAAAGTTGTAGTGGAGCCGATGTGCTTGGCTTTCGCAAGTCATCCAAGTTGGATTGACAGCAACACTATCCTCAGGGAATAAGGAATATCCAAACTCTAAACATAATTTACGTTTAACTTGGAAAACACGTTACCGGTTGCGTACATTAGGGACGTCGGATTTCCTCCGTGAGCCAGGACTCTCTAATGCTTTCTGCCTCGCGCCCACGCCTCCTTTCGGCTCCTTTCCTCCTGTCACTTTCAGCCTCGCGGTGGTCATTGTGCTGGGAAGTGTCTCTTCTATCCCGCACTCAGCTGTGGGGAAGAGGCTGGTATCTGCCCTTTGGTGTTTGCCCTCGGCCCTTGTAGTCGCAGAACCTCAAACGAGGGTTGCACTTCCCAGCATCCTTTGTGTCTAGGTGTGCCCGGTGAGGAGCTCTACTAATGAGGTATAATTATGGGGTTCACGCTCTTTGCCTCCTTTCTCCTTTGTCCCTGCCTCCATCCTGCCACCCGAACGACAGACGTGAGCACACGCTGGGAATGGCCAGGCAGCCAGCAGGAGCCGGGTCCCTGAAGACCCTGGGGTTGGGTGTGGTCTAAGGCTTCCTGTGGCGAAAGTAAACTTCTGTCTGGTTTAAGGCATTATTACATTGGGTCTCTGTCACTCACTGGGAACCCAGTCTAAAACTGAGACTTTCTTCTGGGACTGAGACTCACACTTTTAACTGGAAAACCTAATCTTTTATAGCTGTTGTCATTATTTCTACCTTCTGTTTTAGCATTTTCTATGGACTCTGTTTTTCTTTGCTTTGCCCCCTTTCCCAGCCTTCTGCTCGCTTAATCCAGAACTCTTCCCTTTGCCCCTTTCCTCTTCTGTGATTCATTCCGAACCCATTTATATTATATTGGTGCTTACCCTTAAATGGTTAAAAACATCTAAAGTTAATCAAGTCATCTATCCTCTAGGAAAAACAAGAAAAAGATTTCAGCGTATCTAAAGCATCCCCTCCCACCTTCCATTTTGTTTTTGTCTTTTATTTTAGTCCCTCCTTATTTTTAAAATCCTCCGAATTAATTTCTTTACAGTAAATGCTTCTTTAGATCCGCCAGCATGTGTACTGGTTTCTTTCCCGACTGTTCTCTAGTATGTACTCTGCCTTCATTGCTGAGTGAATTTCTTTCCTTTTTTAATTTTTTAAAAAGATTTTACTTATTTTATTTTTAGAGGGAGGGGAAGGGAAGGAGAAAGAGAGAGAAGGAGACATCAAATAATTGCCTCGAACACGCCCCCAAACCAGGGACTGGGCCTGCAACCCAGGCATGCGCCCTCACTGGGAATGGAACCAGCAACCCTCCAGTTCACAAGCCAACATTCAAGCCACTGAGCCACACCAGCAGGGTGCAAATTTTCTTCTTACTAAAGCCATTTCTTCAATGAGAGCACGTGGATGGGAAGACCTTCACCTTCATTTTGTCTTCTGCAGCTTTCCTGGCAGGCATCTAGACATACACTTGATTTCATCTCTGCTTCTCGGGCTGCCATGCGCTCCAGCAGCCCGAGCCCTTGACTTTGTGGAAATCTTCAGCCATCATCTCTTTGACTATTGCCTCATGTCCCTTCTCTTTATTTTCTCCTTCTAAGACGCCTAATGACTTTTAATTACCCTTTACAATCCTTCATCGTTTTATCCTCCAGTGCTACATTAAGGTGATATTCAGGTAATAGCTTCCAATTTGTTAATCCTCTCTTAAATTGTGTCTAATCTGCCGTTACACTTCTTCATTGATTTTTTCATTCCAATGGCTATAGTCTTTATTTTTAGAAGTTCTACTGTGTTATTTTTTTAATCTCCCTGTTTAATTTTAATACTATCCTATTATTGCATATTGGTCTCTCTTCCTTCTTTTATCTCAATTTTTTTTGCATTTACTTTATGGCCTCTTTTAAATGGTTCTGTTAACACTCTGGGGTACCAATTCTCCCCATTGTTGCATCTGCCTAGTCTTCCTAAAGGTGGCTTGTTTTCTTATGTGATTTGTAATATTTTATCATGAGTTCACCTTCAGAAGTGACAGGGGTGTGTGTGTGTGTTTTAAGTCCTGTGTGTCCTGGGTAGAAAGAGTACCCTTGACAGCAATTTTTTCCTATTTCTTCAGCTTTTCATGCCCCAGAGCATGACGCACAGGCCTGAGTTTTTGGTTCCCTGGGGTAACTCTTTCCACTCCAGGCCCTGGACACCTGTACCCATGCCAATTCCTCAGGCTGGTAGCTGGAGTTGTGTTTTGGTTCCCTTTTACACAACAGGAGACCCTTGCAGGTACTCAGGCTCATGTCCGGCTCCCCGGGGCCCTCACAAGCCTTTCATTGGACACTTCTGGTGCCAGAGCGCAGGCTCTCAGACCTCCAGGTCTGAAGACCCGCGCCCAGGGTTCACTCCCTCCCGCCACCCAGCTTGGAGTTCTCTCATTTGGTACCTAGGGTCATCCCTTTTTTCAAGTTCCACTTTTAAAAATATTTTATTTGTTTATTTTTGAAGAGAGGAGAAGGGAGAGAGAAAGAGAGGGAGAGAAACATAGATCGGTTGCCTCTCTTATGCACCCGACTGGGGACGGAACCCGCAACCGGGCACGTGCCCTGACTGGCAATAGAACCGGTGACCTTTCGCTTTGCAGGATGCTGCCCAATCAACTGAGCCACACAAGTCAGGGCTCGAGTTCAACTTCAAAATATGTATTTTTTTTATGCTTAAGTAGTGGGAGGGGTCCCTTCCAGAGCCCTCTCTCCCCCAACCCCCGTTTTTGAATGCTGCCAGTGCTGGGTGGCTCCCTCCCTCCCGAGGGGCTGCAGAGATCCAAATCTTGCTCTCACTGGGCGATGATGGGCAGTTGACTGTTGCTTTTCTCCTGGAACCTCCTTTCTCCGGGAAGGAAGGAGGCTAAGGTGCGAGTGGACAGGTGCCATCACAAGCCAGTGCTCCAGCTGGGTGTTGTCAGAGGCAGGAGAAGCTTCGGGCTGCTGGTCTCTTTCATCCTGGGGTCTTGGGGGGAGGGTGTGCAGCAGGGACCCTGCCAGTCTCTCTGCCTGGGGCCAGAGAGACAAGGCAGTGTCCCGCCTGGAGCCTCAGTGGGTGAAGAGCATCCTCACAAACTCTGCGGCAGAGAGGGGCCGTCTGGGTCAGGGCTCAGCCTGGGAGCTGGAGGGGCAGGGGTGGGTCTTCTAGGAAGGAAACTCACCATCGAAGTCTACGGTGCCGTCGCCATTGAGGTCCACGTCTCGGAACATCTCATCCAGCTCAGGATCCACCAGCGGCTCCCCCAGCAGGGCCGGCGCTGCCTGTCGCAGCTCCGCCACAGTGATCCGTCCGTCCTTGTCCCTGTCAAACTAGGGTCCCGGCAGGGCTCAGCCCTTCCCACCCCAAGCCACCTCCCCCTTTCCATCTGCTCTCCTCGGATGCCCCCTCGCCCTCCTGCCCCAGGAAGCCTCCCTGGGTGGACTGCCCCTGCTGGGGTGAGCCAAACCCTCTCCGGCCCCTCCCCGGCCCTGGTTCTACTACCGGCAGGGCCCTGTGCCTCCAGAGGCTGAGGACCCGGCTCTCCGCCTCCCCTGGCCTGGGTGGGAGACCGCTGAGGAAGCGTCCCACGGCCCTCGCACCGCCCACCCCTCCACGCCCCACACCTCTCGGAAGGCGATGCGGAGCTCCCGCACCCCAAGCATGTGCGCCGTCTCCTCCCTCAGCTTTGGGCCCATCAGTTCCACAAACTCCTCGAAGTCCACGAGGCCACCCACTGCAGAGCCAAGCAGAGTGTCACAGTGGAGGGCCGGGGCCCAGGGAGGGACATTATGAGGACCAGTCCCTCTTCACTCTGCATTCAGGAAAGAACACCCAGCATCCATACCCTCGGGGGGAGGGGGCAGGAGCCCCGTTTCCGTCTGGGGGTGCACTCGGTGCAGCACGCACGTGTGGGGGGGAAGAGCAGGCTTCGGAAACAGACAGCTCTGGGCCTTAGCCTTGGCGCTGCCACCTCCTGGTGCGTGGCTTTGGGTGACTGAGTAAACTGCCCTCCTTATTCTAGTCCGGGGCCACCGGAACCTGCTCCTGCGGCGCCCTTGGGCTGGAGTTCATGGCTACCGAGTGGGTGGACCCAGCAATAAATGCCCCTGAAGAAGCACACCCATGTCACCCCTCAGTTCTGAAATGCCATCATTTATTAAAAATGGTCAAATAATAGCATCGGGATGAGAAGAGTAGAAGAGGAGAGAGGAGGGGAGGGGAGGGGAGGGGAGGGGAGGGGAGGGGAGGGGAGGGGAGGGGAGGGGAGGGGAGGGGAGGGGAGAAGCATGAAGGGACATGCTCACATTCCCAGTGCATCTCACCCCACTGTGGAACCGTAAAGATAAACAAGGGCAGGGGTCCTGGAATGGAGGGGATCTGCTGTTGGACAAACCAGCTAATGAGAAGCACACAGTGCCTGCCCATCCTTCATTTAATCGCGAGGAATGGCCGGGATTCTGTCATGCTAAGCCTCACCTGACCCCAGGGCACTCTCTTTAGGAGACAGACAGCACCGGCAGGATGCACTTTGTCATAAGGGCTGAGGAAGGCTTGTTCAACCTGAGGCCCCCACAGAGCCCCAGGGGCCTGTCTTGGACACCCTATGCCCACCCTGGTGTCTCTGCATCCGAAGGGGCCAGTGTCAAACTGTCAAACTGCCCTGGAAACTGCCCTCTCCTTGCCCTACCCCCATGGAGCCCCCCGGGGCCCGTGGCGTGAGGCACTGACTTCGCATCTTGACGTGCTGTGAGACCTGGATGAGCTCCATCTCGGTAGGCATGTAGCCCAGTGTCCGCATGCAGGCGCCCAGCTCCCGGTAGCCGATGTAGCCGTCGCGGTCAGTGTCGAACTCCTCAAAGGCAGCCTGAAGCTCTGCGGGGGAGGGGGGTCAGGCCCAAGAGCCCAGCCCAGGAGTGCCTCCCACCCCCTGCTGCCAGCAAGGGCCACTCACCTTCCAGCTCCTCAGGGCCCAGCTTGCGGTCCTGCGGAGGCACAGGCCAGCATGTCCTCGGGGCCAGCCAGGACTCTGGCCGGCCGCCTCCAGCCCCTGCCCGCACCGGCCTGCACAGGGCCAGTCCCGCAGGGCAGGAGAAAGCAGCCGAAGTCCTGTGGGCCCCAGGACAAGAGGCGACTCCTCTTCCTGCTCCTGGGGCCTGAGTTCTCACAGAACCCTGGGTTTGAGGTCAAGGCCCACCCACTCCCAGGCTGGCCCCAGACCTTCCCTTCCTCAAACTCCCAGTCAGGATCCAGAGTTTAGAGCAGAAGCAGCAGGAGGCCCGAGTTCTAGGGGCCAGGTGGGCTGAACCTGAGGTCACAAGTCCCCATAGCCCCCCCTCCAGGCCCCCCAACCCCGCCCAGGCCCCACCTGACCTTCCCGAAGATACGGTTGAGCAGAGGCCCGTACATCTTCTGAGCGGCGTCATGGTGCGGGGCAGAGCGGTGCCGGTGGGACTGGCGACGAGAGGCCACTCCCGGGGCTGCAGGGGCTGGCTCCTCTGGCCCTTCTCTTGTGCTCGAGGTCCGCTTGCTGCTCCCGGGGGCCTCGGGACACTGGACGGGGGTCTGCCTCCCAGAGCTGTCAGCGCCTTTCTGGGGCCCTCGGAGCCCCCTCTCCCTTGTGCTTCTCCTCCTGGTCAAGGGTTGCCCCTCAGCACTGCTCCTGGGAGCTGAGACCCCCACAGGGGGCTTCTGGGGGCTGGGACCAAGGTCTGGGCCATGCTGCCCCCTCACCTGCTCTGTGGCCATGGGAAGACAGGCGACAGGGCTCGGAGACAGAGCGTGAGAAAGCACCCTTGGCTCTCAGGGCCCACAAAGCTGCTTATGCCCCCTGAGAGCACATGGCCTGGGGTGGGGCCCTGAGGCGGATTAGGCTAAGTGAGGGAGGCAGCCCAGGCCCTAATCGGGGCCCTCTGCCCTGTGTGGCCAGGGCAGATGGGCCAAGAGGACTGTTCTCAGCAACGGTGGGTACCAGGACACAGTGGCTGTAATGAGCTTCAGACTACAGCTCCGCCCACTGGTGAGCTGGGAGACCCAGCAAAATCAGCCTTCCGAGCCTCGGTAGCCTTGCCTGTAAAATGGGGGCGACATTGTTGAAGGGTTCACTCAGCCCGTCTGTGTGACGAGGGCAGCACTTAGCTAAGAGAGGACAGGAGAAGGACTCTCAGATGAGAGGAAGACTCTGGGCGGAGGCTGGGAGGTGGGCAAGGATGGAATGAATTGCCCACTGCGGCCCCCTTGTGGGGTACTACCCTGGCTGGAGCAGAGGGTGTGTGGAATTGGGGAAGAGAGACCTTGAACGCTGGATTTGGGGCATGGAGGTGCGGTCAGAGGAGGTGGGTCCTGGGGGGCCCATTGCTTGCACTGTGCCGGAGGGGTCAGGGTGGGGGTTTCAGCCACCTGGCATTTTCAAGGATGCGGGGCCTGGTTGGTCACTTGGCCTCGCTGGGCTGGGGTTAGGGTTTCCCGGTGAGCAGCCCCATGAATGATTAACGTCCTCAGCTTGGGTTTCAGGCGGGCCGCCTTAGCGCCGCCCGGCGCCATGCAGCAGGCCTCGGCGTGAGGCCTGCAGACAGCGGGACCGCTGGGCAGGCAGGCACGCCCTGCTCCTTCTGGCCAGCAGCCTTACCTCGCAGGTAAGCCGAGCCAGGGCCCTGATCCAGCAGGGGCTGGAGCTTGCGGAGTGGGGTCTGCCTGAGGAAGAGCCCGGGGTGGGGGGCGGGGAGAGGCCCCTGGGCTGAAGGCCAAGTGGCTGGAGCCACAGGCCACAGGCGGATCCGGCCTCTCTGGGGCGTCCCCCGACTCCCACTGGGGCTGTCTATGCTGAGAGGGAGAGCCCTCCACTATTGAGGGAAGTGGGGAGTAGCAGCCACCCTCATCCTCACCACACTTCGGAGTCCCTTCTCTGTTTGGTAGCCCCAAGGGACAAACGGGAGCTGAGCTGGGAGAAGGGGGAGGGCTGTCGGGGGGGGGGGGCTGGAGGAGGAAGCAGAGGCGCAAGATGCTCTGGGGACAGCCTTCCCGGCCTCAGGCCTCGGGGGCCCTGAGCTGCAGGCCTTACCTGAGGCCACGAGCTGCAGGGGCTGGGGGGGAGGGGCCTCCTCCTCCCCAAATTCCCATTCACCCTCGAATTCCTGTGGACCCATGAGTCCGGAGCCCTCCCTTTTTGGACTTTTAAACACTTGAACCCCAGAATACCAGACAAAAGGCGCCTGCAAAGATCTGATCAAGTGGTATTCAAACTTCCTTCCTTGCGGCCCTACGGGTACTCTCCCTTCCTTTAATCTTACCGTTATAATATTTTATTTAAAGAAAAGATTCACCAGCCTTTTAAGGAGAAAACCCCTGGTCTAACCCACTTGGACACACTGGGATTCCGAGGGGCAGGATGGTCAGCTCTGAGTTCGAGCCCTGGTGTCTCCCTTCCTATCGCTGACCTTGGCCGAGTCACTGGTCCTCCGACTCTTGCTCTCATCACCTACAAAACAGACTGTGTGGGGACCGAGCGAGGTGCTCCGTTAAAGGTCCCGGTATAGGGTAACTACTCGACAGGTGATGACGATGCCCAGAGAGGGCAAGCGACTTGCCCAGAGACGTAGAGCACGTCCCGTGACCAGTCACCAATGCCTTCGTTGATTTGCCAGGCTCTGTGTCCAGCACTACCCTGGGGACCTCAGAGGGACAGTATGGAAGCCAACCTGGGCGTCTTTGGCCGCCGGCCCCGCACGGAACTCGATGACGAGGACTACTACCCCCAGGGTAGCTGGGACACGGTCTTCCTGGTGGCCCTGCTGCTCCTGGGGCTGCCAGCCAACGCACTCATGGCGTGGCTGGCTGGCTCACAGGCCCGGCAGGGAGCGGGCACGCGGCTGGCCCTGCTCCTGCTCAGCCTGGCTCTCTCTGACTTTTTGTTCCTGGCGACAGCGGTCTTCCAGATCCTGGAAATCCAGCACGGAGGGCACTGGCCGCTGGGGACAGCGGCCTGCCGCTTCTACTACTTCCTGTGGGGTGTGTCCTACTCCTCAGGCCTTTTCCTGCTGGCAGCCCTCAGTCTGGACCGATGCCTGCTGGCACTCTGCCCACGCTGGTACCCAGGGCGCCGCCCGATCCGCCTGCCTCTCTGGGTCTGCGCCGGGGTTTGGGTGCTGGCCACACTCTTCAGTGTGCCCTGGCTGGTCTTCCCCGAGGCCGTCATCTGGTGGTACGACCTGGTCATCTGCCTGGATTTCTGGGACAGTGAGGAGCTGCCGCTGCGCATGCTGGAGATCCTGGGGGGCTTCCTGCCTTTCCTCCTGCTGCTCATCTGCCACGTGCTCACCCAGGCCGCCTCCTGCAAGACTTGCTGCCGCCGCCAGCCGAGAGCCGCCTGCCGCGGCTTTGCCCGCGTGGCCAAGACCATCTTGTCAGCCTATGTGGTCCTGCGGCTGCCCTACCAGCTGGCGCAGCTGCTGTACCTAGCCTTCCTGTGGGACGTCTACCCTGGCTACCTGCTCTGGGAGGCGCTGGTCTACTCCGACTACTTGATCCTTCTCAACAGCTGCCTCAGTCCCTTTCTCTGCCTCCTGGCCAGCGCCGACCTCCGCGCCCTACTGCGCACAGTGCTATCCTCCTTCGCGGCAGCTCTCTGCGAGGAGCGGCCAGGCAGCTTCACGCCAGCCGAGTCGCAGACCCAGGTGGACTCTGGTGGGCAGACTGTGCCGGAGCTGGCTGCCGAGGCCCAGCCCCAGGCAAACCCCACCTCCCTGCCACGGATGGATTCGGTGGCCCAGCCCCAGGCGAACCCCACAGCACAGCCACAGGAGAACCCATAGCCCAGCCACAATCAGATTCTATGGCCCAGCCACAGGAGAACCCCACGGCCCAGCCACAGGAGAACCCCACGGCCCAGCCACGATCAGATTCTATGGCCCAACCTCAGCTGAACTCCACAGCCCAGCCACAGGCAAACCCCACAGCCCAGCCACAGTCAGGTTCTGTGGCCCAGCCACGGGCAGACCATGAGGCCCAGCCTGCTTTGGACACTGTGGCCCAGCCACAGGCGAGCTCGGGGCCCCAGACCCCTGGACCTGCTGCCAGCCCAGCCCCCAGCCCCTGCGATGAAGCTGCCTTTGCCCCATCCAAGGATCCCAGCCCAGAGGCCCCTGAGAAGCCGGCTGCGCCGGCGGCCTCTGAGGGGGAAAGCCCCAGCAGCGCCCCTCCGGAGGAGGCTCCTCGTGTGGACCCCACGTGAGAGTCCAGAAGAGCCCAGGCCTTCCAGGCAGCCAGAGGGAGATGGAGGAACTGGCCAGTCAGAGAGGAGGGGCATCGTGGAGGAAGTCATCATGGAAAGCCCCACCAGTCCCCTGGGCCTGCAGGAGGACTTGGGGGAAGTGAGAACGGAATGGCCAAAAGTCCCAGACAGTTTGTTGTTGAACGTCACGTTTCTGTCCAGGTCCCACGAGCTCTTCCATCACTGTCATGTTTGTCCCCGCCCCCCTCCCAAAGTGGCCCACAGCCCTGAATGGCCACAGCTGATGGTGTCCACGGGGCTCTGCCCTCCGGTACCCTCGGGCCCCATGACGGTTCAGCCTTGCGGGTGCAGGGAGGGACAGCAGAGGGGCTTGATCTGGCTCCCTCCCACCCGTTCCTCCCTCCCCTTCTCCCTGCACCATCCTATAAGCTAGGCGCGAGGGTGCCAAAGGAGAAAGTCGCTGTGGAGGAAGGGTCACTCTGGAGCCAGCAGGAGCCTGCAAGCTGTGAGGGGGCAGGATGACAGGAGCGGAGGCCAGAGCCGCCAACCCTGGGTTCCAGTCCAGCTCCGGTGGCTCTGGACAAGCTGTTTCCCTCTCTGAGCCCCCTGTTCCACCTGCCATCGTGAGCATTAAATGAGAACGTGTGTGAGGCGCCTAGCAAGAGGCGCAGCACACAGTAGGGACTCAGTGAACAGATGTCCTTCCTTTCCTGGCGTCCGGAGATGTCCCTGCAGGGGCTGGGGATGGATGGGAGGAGGCAACACCTGGCCGAAGCATCTGGATCCTGCAAGCTGTGGGGGGGCAATCAACTGTGCCCATGACCAGTGGGGGCTACAGATACCCAGGTAGCCTCAGCGAGCAAAGCATGGGGTTGCCTCTGCACCTGGGGCTGCTCCGAGGACCCCAAAGTTTGCTCCATTTAAGGGTGCAGCTGCGGGAGTGGCAGGTTCGGAGAGCACCGGGCCTGCCTCCCTCTGAGCCCCTCCTGTGCACTCAGCTCAGGGGCGTAGATGAGCATGTGCCCGAGCAGAGAGCTCTGGGGACCAGGGGCCCCAGAAAGGGCAGAGGTTCCCAGAGGCCACACAACATCTCTGGGGCACAGCCAACCAACCTCTTCCCTCTCAAGCTGCAGATACTGCAAAACAAAAACCAAACCAAACAAAAACTGGGAAGCGCTGAAGGGCCGGCCTGGCCCACTTCCCTTTCTCTCCCTCACTCCTCTGGCGCCCACTGCACCCAGCTTTCTCTCAACCCCTGCTGCTTCCACACCGTGCTCCCTTCCTCCCCCACCCCCATCTTTCCCATTAGCTCAGCACTGTGACCTTCAGCAATTAGGCAGTACCCTCACCAATAGCTGTAAATGACAATGACATTCACCCTGCTACCCTTCCCAGGGTGCTTGCATTTCCAAAAGGCAGCAGGCTGTGCAGGCGGCCGACCTGGGTCCTGGTTCCCAGCTTCTCTCTCAGGCTCAGGGCTCTCCTCTGCAAACCAGGGTGATGACGTTGTCTTTGCCAGGTTGGCTGTCGGGGTCATTTCCTGTGCCAGGACAGAAGCACACCGGGCGGTGGTGACAAGAGCGGCATAGCCATAGCATCTCCTAAGTGAGGGGACCAAGGGCATGAGGCCTGTGGGAGAGAGATTTCTGGATAGGCACAAACTCGTTGAATTCATTCTTTCATCAAGTATTTACTGAGCACTTGCTAGGTGCCCTGCCAGCCAGCCTCCCATTTTGGAGACGCACAGGTGGGCTCAGGGGCAAGGCCCCTGGCGGCCCTCGGGTCTTGTTTGAATCCCAGCTCCACCACTCAGCAGCTGTGTGATCTTTTAGGAGGCCTCTTGGCCTCTGTGGGACTCGGTTTCCTCATCTGTAAATTGGGGAGCATAATTATGGTTCCAATTTCCTGGGAATGTTAATCCCTGTGAATGCTGGAATCCTTGCCTGGCACAGAATAAGTGCTTAATAACTGTCAGCCATTAATGTGATTATACCGGTGTGTACCCCCAGGCCCCACGCAGGCCTGGGACCAGTGCTGACTCACGGGCCAGAGCCCACGTGGCCGCGTCCTGCCCACTAAGCATCTTCCCCTCTACCACCCTGCCCGCTCTTCCACAATTTCACACCTTCCCATCTCCCTAAAGCGCACACCCCCTGAGGACAAAATGTGGGCTTGTGTCCCTTTGGGGTGCTCTGCCTTCTCCCAGCTACAGGTCCCAAGGTCTTTTCAGCAAGGCAGGCAGATCACAGACTGAACCCTCAGTGCCAGCCTCCTGCCTTCAACTCCAGCCCAGGCTCCAAACCCCACCTCCTGGAGACTGGACCAGTCCCACCTCCAAGGTCCCCGCGGGGAATCCCACCCATGATGGACGATTGCTCTCCAGGAGAAAGAGCAGGGCCAGGAAGGGCTCGGAGGACTGAAGAGGAGTCCTCTTGGTGGCCCGGAGGAAGGTTGTGTGTTGGGAGGAATGTGTACACCCGTGGCCTTGGGAGATGGAGGGATGGCTCTGGCAGAAGAGTCTTCAGACGCAGGAGGCAGGATGAGCCAAGGCGCTGAGGTAGGAAGGAAGGTGTGTGTTTCAGGGACAGGAGGGTCAGCGTCACCTCTGATGTTCCACGGCCCCTCCACTTCCCCCGGCACACCCTGCAGCACTGGGCTCCTGTTTTCCTCTGGGGAACTCATCCCTCCTCCAGATAAGAGACACCCACCCTCTCCCTCGTGGGGGCCAGACGTGGATTCTGAGAGCTGTGAACACGAATATTTTTCAGTTCTGTATTCAGGGCTGCTCTTTGTTCATTCGTTCGACATACGTTAATTGAACACGTACTGTGTGCTAAGTCTTCTTGTTCTAGGTGCTGGAATACAGTGGGAAGTGAGACAAAGTGCTGCCCGCAGTCTGCTGACATCCTAGCGGAGGAGGCAGACGAAAAGCAAATACACACACAGTTTGTAATATAACATCAGATGGTGATTAAGCACAATGCAGGGGGAGCAAGGAAGGGCCAGAGAGTGATGGGTAAGGGGGTGGTCAGGGAAGGCCCTTGGAGGAGATGACATCTGAGCAGAGGCCTGGAGGAAGCGAGGGACGGAGGCTTTTCAAGACCTGGGGGGAGCAGGGAGCAGGAGGTGTCAAGGCGCTGAGGCGGGAAGGCAGGTGGTGCGCTCCGGGCACAGGAGGGTCAGTGCCACTAGGCCACCTGGAGGGAAAGGACCGTAGTAGGTGATGAGGGGTGGTGGGCAGGGGTCAGACGGCGGCAGGGTGGGCAGCAACAATGGCTGCCATCTAGTTTGGGCTCTGGACACATGGAGAGGGAGGCTCTGTGGCTGGCTGTCCTCTTCCCAACTACCCACATCCCAGTCCAGGGCTGGAGGGACTGGCCTGCTCATGATTTATGGGCCAATGGGACAACTAAAGACTTCGGAGTCAAACCGGTGGGTCCTGAGTCCGGGAAGAGTGACCCAGGGCACGTGCCTCTCCTCTCTGAGCTGTTTTCTCCACAGGGTGTGGTGAGGCAGACCAGGTGGACACACAGGGGGCTTCAGGGAGCCAGAGAACAGCTCCTTTTGACTTCTGCCCTTTCCCCCTGCACCACACTGTTTCAGGAAAGGGAGGCTTGACTATCACCCCTTGATCATCCAGGTCAGTGGAGGCTCAGAGAAGTAATGAGGGGAGGTGGCCAGTGCCCCGGGGACAACGGCCCTGGGGGAGGGGCAGACTCTGTCTGCAAAACCTACAGGCACAATTCAGCAGCCTCCTCACGGGAGCAGCCTGGGAGGGAGGACTGTGGGCTGACCTGGTCTCCGAGTGGGATGGCCGAGGAAAGGCAGGAAGGTGTGAGGGACCTGGGGAGCATGGCCCCTGTTCTGTTTGTGATAAGGAGGCAGCGAGACCCAGGGGTGTTCATCAGGAAGGATGAGTTGATTGGGGCCTTCCACTCGCCCCTTAGAACACCTGTTTTATTTACATCGTTAAACGAGAGCATGTACTTCTGCATCTTAAAAAGGGGCATGCTATGTCAACTGTCCCAGTAGACAACGTATTTTGGGGTGGACTGGGGGACCCTAAAGTATGCACTGGCGCTGGGAGATGGGAAGGGCTAGGCTCCGTCTACTCCTGGGAAGGGCAGGGTCCCTCAGGCCCCATCCCCACTGGGGTCGCAGCCTCTAGCCCAGCGCCCAACCAAGAGCGACCCGAAAGTCTGCGGGGCGGGGGCGGGGGCGGGACGCCCGAGGCCCCGCCCAGACCACGCCCCCGCGCCCTCAGCGCCCCTGTGCTCCTGGCCTCCAGGCACCACAGGCAGCCTCCCGCCCCGCCCCGTCCCTCCGCGCGTGACCTCAGCCCCGCCCCCGCCCCTTGCCCCGCTCTCCTCTATCACTTCCTGATTCCCGCTTCCTGCTTTCCAGTGGCTGGGATCCGGAGCTGCTCCAGGCCGGTGCCGCTGTCCCCGGCGCCCGCGGTGAGCGCGACTGGCGGAACCTTGGGGCGCAGGCAGGGGGCGGGCGGGCCTGCGGGGGCTGAACCGTGGGGCTCGGGGAGGGAGGTCGCGAATCCCAGGAGCCCTTCCTCTCCGCGGCGCCTAGCCCTCAGTCCCAACTCCTGGTGGCCACCTAGCCTCTCCCCTCCTGGACCAGGGTCCCTGGTAGTGGGGCTTCTGGTTCACCTTGGACCCCGCTGCAAGGCGGCTCTGGGATGCTCTTCGGCTGAGAGCAGCGTCCCGACTCCCGCCCAGTCCTGCCAGGACCCCTGGGCCGGCCCGGGGCTCCCCGCACGTTCCTGCGGACATTGCACATTCTCTGGGACTCATAATTGGGGCCTAGCGCGGCCTGGACAGCAGAAATCGCCTCTGCCTTCTCTGTCCGTTCTCATCATCCAGCTTGCAAGTCCTGGGCTGGGAGGGGTCTGGTGAGACCTGGCTGGGACCTGCAGGAGAGCTGAGCTTGCTCTGATTTTGGCCCCTCCCCGCCCCACAAGCTCTCAGGTGGCTGAGCCAGCGAGGGGCCCCAGGAAGGGTCCTGCAGAGCCTCTCAAGGCTTGCAGTGTGGGCATTTCCCTCTTCACCCTGGGGACCGGCAACCAGGGTTTGTGCCGGCGACCCCATTCTGTAAGGGGAAACTGAGAGCTAGGTGGGTCACAGTGACCAGGCCCCAGGGGCAGCCTCCCCCCCTCCCTCCAGGCAGCTCCGGGAGGCCGGGGGGTGCCGGGATCCGCAGGCGCTAACACGCCTCTGCACACTGCAGACATGTCCTTCCGAAAAGTGGTTCGGCAGAGCAAATTCCGGCATGTGTTCGGGCAGCCGGTCAAGAATGACCAGTGCTATGAGGACATTCGAGTGTCCCGTGTCACCTGGGACAGCACCTTCTGCGCAGTCAACCCCAAGTTCCTGGCGGTGATTGTGGAGGCCAGCGGTGGGGGTGCCTTCCTGGTGCTCCCCCTGAGCAAGGTGGGGCCCGTGAGGGCAAGGTGGGGGAAGGACTGGAGGTGGCTTGGCCATTCCTGCCAGACCTCTCTGCTTACCCCACATCCCTTATCTTGCCACACTGCTGGGCAGGTGTCAAAATCCCCTTTTACTGCCCGAGACCATGTCAGCCCAGGAGGAGAAAGTCTGTTATTGCACAGGGTCAGGCTCAGAGGCAAGGAGCATTTCCTGCTCACCAGGGGATGCCTTTGAGGCAGAGGTGGGCCAGGAGAGGCAGTCACATCGGGGCCACCCATGGGCCAGGCACGGCGTATCATTCCTGAGCCACAGAGGGGAAGACCGAGGCTCTGGGAGGGACAGAGCTTGGGGACCGTGAGTCCCCACTGACTGCCCACCTCATGCCTGCAGACGGGCCGCATTGACAAAGCCTACCCAACGGTATGTGGACACACAGGACCTGTCCTGGACATCGACTGGTGTCCCCACAATGATGAAGTCATTGCCAGCGGCTCAGAGGACTGCACAGTCATGGTGAGGTTTGCTCTGTGGTGGGTCCAGGGTCACACGTGCGGTTTGAGGCTGTCGGAAGCCGGGCCGGGCACAGCCCTACCTGCAGCCTCCTCCTCCCGTAGGTGTGGCAGATCCCAGAGAACGGGCTGGTATCCCCGCTGACGGAGCCAGTGGTGGTGCTGGAGGGGCACACCAAGCGAGTGGGCATCATCACCTGGCACCCGACGGCCCGCAACGTGCTGCTCAGTGCAGGTCAGCACCTCTCCCCTGCCTCGCCCTTCCGTGCACAGCTCTGGAGCCTCCCGCACCTCCCCCAGGCCCATGTGGAAGATGGGAGAGCCGAGGCCCTTGGGGATCGAGAGGTTGGGTCCGGTTCCAGGAGGGTGGTCACAGGGAGCCTGGTGGGCTGATGTCCCCTGACCCGGCAGGCTGCGACAATGTGGTGCTCATCTGGAACGTGGGCACGGCGGAGGAGCTGTACCGCCTGGACACCCTGCACCCCGACCTCATCTACAACGTCAGCTGGAACCGCAACGGCAGCCTCTTCTGCTCTGCCTGCAAGGACAAGAGCGTGCGCATCGTAGACCCCCGCCGGGGCACGCTGGTATCGGTATGTGGCCCCGGAGGGTGAGGGTGGCGGTGGACAGCCCAGGGGCTCCACCAGGCACTGCACTGACCACTCTGTCCCCCTGACAGGAGCGGGAGAAGGCTCACGAGGGGGCCCGGCCCATGCGGGCCATCTTCCTGGCGGATGGCAAGGTGTTCACCACAGGCTTCAGCCGCATGAGTGAGCGGCAGCTGGCCCTCTGGGACCCGGTGAGTGGCTATGGCCAGGCTGAAGCATCAGGCTTGAGATTTAGGCCCCAACCTGGGCGAGAAGGATGGGGGGGGTCATCCTGAAGACACCTGTGCTTCCCAGGTTCTTGCCCTGGCACGGGAGGCTCTCAGGACCTGGAACCCCGCCAGCCCCTCTCCCTGATCACCCCCCAGCCTCCCCCACCGCCTCCAGCTACCTCCCAGTCTTTGTCCGCATTGTTCCACCAACTGGAAGGTCTTGCCCTCCTGGCTGGCCTGTTCCCACCTGGTTGTCCTGTGAGGCCCAGGACAGAGACCCCTCCTGCAGGAGGCCTCCCAGCCCTTGTCCTGCGGTGCCCTGACCTCCAGGGGCCCCTGAGACCAGCTGATGCTCCCGAGCGGCGGGGCCTCTCAGGGCGTGCTCAGCGGCCTGCGAGTACTCTACAGGCCTAGAGTGGGCCAACAGTGGGGGCTCTGGGAACGGATGGGAGCGGGGGGGCGGGACACACTGTGTGGGCAAAGGCTGAGAGGTGAGAGGGTGCCCACCAGTGAGGAAGGGGCAATGCTGGCTGGGCTGGGTGGTCCTGATGGGGGAGTAGGACATTGACGGGAGGGGAGAGGTTCTGGCCTGGCCAGGCCTGATGGCACCCTATGCCCTCGCCAGGAAAACTTTGAAGAACCCATGGCCCTGCAGGAGCTGGACTCAAGCAACGGGGCCCTGTTGCCCTTTTACGACCCCGACACCAGCGTGGTCTACGTCTGCGGCAAGGTGGGGCTGGGCGGGCCTGGCGGGACAGGGAGGAGGGATGCCGAACGCTGACACCTGTTCCCTGCCGCCCTGCAGGGCGACTCCAGCATCCGGTACTTTGAGATCACCAGCGAGCCCCCCTACATCCACTTCCTGAACACGTTCACCAGCAAAGAGCCCCAAAGGGGCATGGGCAGCATGCCCAAGAGGGGCCTGGAGGTCAGCAAGTGTGAGATCGCCCGGTAAGAGGGGCCACCAAGGAGGCTGGCTTTGGGGGAGGCAGCCTGGGGGCAGGGGGCAGAGGTCAGGTGATAGGAGGCTGCCCAGGAGGCCCCAGGGGCTGGGGGCAGTCTAGGCGGGGCTAGGATGAGGGAACGGAGAGTGGGGGAGACCGAGAGAGCTGGTGCGGGGGAGCTGCACCCACGGCTCCCCCTTCCCCTCACTTTTCCAGGTTCTACAAACTGCATGAGCGCAAGTGCGAGCCCATTGTCATGACTGTGCCACGGAAGGTGAGGCCACCAGGTTCACTCCGTCTCTGTTGGACAGGCCACCCGGGTGACTGGGGCAAGGCCTGTGAAGGAGTCACGGCTGAGTGGGTGCAGTCAGTGGGCTGGACGAGTGCCCGCGCACCCCCAGCTGTGCTGGGGACAAGCCGAGCGATGGGTGAACTGAGGCCCTGCCCTGGAGGAGCCCAGGAGACAGGGCCTGGAGGTCTTCCCGTCGGAGGCTGGCTGACAGCGCCCTGGACAGAGCCCTCCAGTGGTGGGCAGTAGGTCAGAGCCGGGAGTGGCGCGAGGGACAGGAAGTCTGGCTGCAGAGGAGGCCCCCAAGAGCGAGGGCATCAGGCCACATGTGTCTGGGCATCAGATGCCCGGCCAAGAGCCTTGGACGTGGTTTGCCCTTCTCCGGCCAGTGTTTGCTGAGCACGGCAGTCAGTGTGCCAGGTGCACCCCAGGGAGCTGAGCTGTGAACGAGGCTGACAGGGCTGCCCCAGGCACTCAGTCCGGGGGCACAGCGCGGCTCCCAGAACCCCAGCAAGCCCTGCTGGGGAAGGTTGCGGAGCCTTCAGAGCGAGCTGTTGGCAATGTCCAGAGAGGAAGTGAAGGGACAGGTTTGAGCTTAGAAAGGTGGTGACTTGGGTCCGGGCCACCGGGGAATGGGCTGACAGGGTGCAGGCCAGGAGAGTGATGAGGAGGTGTCCACCTAGGGTCCAGACGAGAGGACCCTGATGGTGGGCCCCCCACTGACCCACACCTCCCCCACCCCCGCCCAGTCGGACCTCTTCCAGGACGATCTGTACCCCGACACGGCAGGGCCCGAGGCAGCCCTGGAGGCGGAGGAGTGGGTGAGCGGGCGGGACGCCGACCCCGTCCTCATCTCCCTGCGGGAGGCCTACGTGCCCAGCAAGCAGCGGGACCTGAAGGTCAGCCGGCGCAACGTCCTGTCCGACAGCCGGCCTGCCGTGGCCCCTGGTGCTGCTCGCTCAGGGGCATCCACACCCGCTGCCTCGGCCAGTGCAGCCACCCCCAGCAGCAGCCTCGCCGGAGCAGGGGTACGTGCCCAGTAGTCTGCAGTGGTGCTGGGAGCCCCGGTGTGCTGCGGGTGCCTGACCATTTGTTGTCCCTCTGAGCCGCGGGCCGTCGCCTGGCAGTCGATTTGAGGAGGGCTCCAGCTCCCTGACCCGTGACCGCCCTCCATGTCCCTGCAGGAGGCTGGGAAGCTGGAGGAGGTGATGCAGGAGCTGCGGGCATTAAGAGCCCTGGTCAAGGAGCAAGGGGAGCGAATCGGCCGCTTGGAGGAGCAGCTGGGCCGCATGGAGAATGGGGAGGCGTAGGACCACAGGCCCAGCGGGTGCCACCTCCCACCTCCTCCTTGAACCCCTTCTCACTCAGCTCTGCTGGCAGGTCACACCGCTGGCTGGCTGCCCCTGCCCCCTGCTAAGGGCTTCTGGGGCAGGTTCAGGGGCCAGTCCATACCCTGACCCATCCTGTGGGCCCAGGCTGGAGCCACCGCCTGGCTTTTGTCATTGTTAGCGTGGAGGATTTTTGTACCAAGGCAAGCTTACACGCTGAGGGACCACCTCCCCACCCCCGCCCGGCCCCCTGCTCCCTCCTTGGAGGAGTGGGAGGGATGGGCTCTCTATTTTCATTCCAAATAAAATTCTCTTTCTAAAAGCCAGGTTCACTATTCTGCTGCAAGGGTGGGGCTGGGACAGGAAGTCTGGAAACCGGGACAGGTGAGGCCCCCAGGGATCGTTAGATGTGAGAAAGGCCTGGTGCCACAAGCACCCCCCAGGCGGCTCGGCCCCCCTGAATTCTGCCAGGGCAGGACATTGAGGCAGAGGACGCATGAAAACCTCTAGGGCCATGTCCTGCTTGGAGCTGGGGGCCCAGTCCCTCCTCCTGGCAGCCTGGCCACGGGCTCCGTAGCCCAAGCGTGGCCCAGTGCCGGACCTGGGAGGATCCGGTGGGGGTCAGAGTGGTCCCCAGAGGCTTGAGGGGCCCACGGCAGGGAGGGGTGGGAGGGGTGTGGTGGGCAGGAAGCGGAAGCGTCAAGCAACCCCTAGCTGCCGTGGAGCACAGCGCGGAGTTCACTTCTCCACACGCCCGCACTGAGAGGCCCACGGACCCATGGTGAGTGGTGGAGTGCGTTGCATCCTTGGGTGGGGGTGACAGGAGGTCAGGGCTGGGGTGCCCAGGCCTGGGAACTAAGGAACAATTCCCGGCTCTTGGGACCGACAGCAACCAGTCTGGGTAGAGGTGAGAGCAGGGAGCCAGGACAGGCGTGGGGCAGAAACCGGGCTTTTCTGTCATCTCACACCTTGGAGCTCAGGTTGCGGCCCCAGCGCCCCACTCTAGGCCCAGACCGCCTTCCAGACCTGGGGGTGGGCCCTCCCCTGCTCCGCTGGGGAGCATCCCCGGAGCTGCCTGGGGCAGGAGTCTTGCTTGTGCCCTGCACCCCTCCTCCCCCACACACCCCACCTGCCTCGTTCCGACCGCAGGCTTCCTCTGGCAGCTGCGCGGCCTGCCCCAGCCGCCGAGGCCCCCAGGGGCAGCGAGTGGGACTGAACGGAAGCACTGCAGCTGGGGCGGCGGTGGGGCTGCCCCGAGAGCCTGGGAGGGAGAGAGGGGTCTCGGACCCCCTTCCTCAGACCTGGCCAAGTGGACGACGGCGTACAGTTGCCTCCGGAGGGGCTACCTCCACACTGGCCTCACAGGTGCATCCCAGTGCTGTTCCTGTGGGCAGTTTTGACAGTCAGCCAGCAGTTACTGAGCACCTACTGTGTGCCAGGAGTTGTTTAGGTGCTCGAGCCAGAAAGTTCCCTGTCTTCTTGCAGCTGATTCTGGTGCGAGTGGTAAGACAATGACCCTAATAAACAGGCAGCTTTGCCTAAGTACTGGGTTAGGACTGGGGGAGGGGCGGGGGCTACAGGGACGGGGTGGTGGCCCGGCCGAGGTTAGGCCTCACCGAGGCATGAGGTACCCTGAGCTAAGGTAAGCAGGGAAGTCGTGTGGCTCGAAGGGCAGGGGGATGGAACATTCCAGGCAGAGTCCTCTAACTGCTCCCCAATAGGAGCAGGCTTTTAGGGTACAGTGGGAGGGAGGGGGTGGGCAGGTACCACAGGGCTGGGACCTTGTTGCCCAGGTAAGGGTTTTTCTGCGTGACTGTCCCTACTTTGCCCAAAAGGCAACCAAGGAGCCTGTTGCCCAGCCTGGCCCCAGCCAGGACGCTGAGCCCCTGTCTGTCTCCCCACAGGACCCACCCTGTGCCCTATGGCTCTGGATGCTGCTGGCCCTGCCTGGGGTCCTGGGCGGCAGTGCCCACGACAGCCAGGGCTCCAGCACTGTCACGGTGGTCCTGCTGCTGCTGCTTCTGCTGCTGCTGGCCATGGGCCTGGCCCTGGCCTGGCGCCGCCTCAGCCGCGACTCTGGAGGCTACTACCACCCTGCCCGCCTGGGCGCGGCGCTGTGGGGCCGCACCCGCCGCCTGCTCTGGGCCAGCCCACCAGGCCGCTGGCTCCGGGCCCGGGCTGAGCTCAAGTCAACAAATGAAGACCCAGAGAGGCAGGAGGACGAGCCAGACTCGGAGGATGACAGCTTTGACCTGGGCCAGAAGGAGGCCGAACCCGGGGAAGAGGAGGAGGAGAGGTGCGGAGAGCAGCCCAGCCCACAGCGAGGCCCGGAGCCCACGCAGGAAGCAGTGGGCGGGGACGTGGAAGGGGGCCCGGGCCTCGGCTCCCAGGGCCCCGAGGGCTCCGCAGGCAGCGCGGAGGCCCTCCTGAGCGACCTGCACGCCTTTGCGGGCAGCGCAGCCTGGGACGACAGCACGAGGGCCACTGGGGGCCAGGGCTTCCAGGCCACTGCCCTGTAGGGGCCAGCCCTGGGGTCACGCCCTTGTCACTGTGTCTCTGCTTCCCCAGCTGCTATGACTGGACACTGCCTGCCCTGGGCCCCCTTGTCACCCACACCCCCATGTGGAGAGCCTCAGACTGTCACTCCGCCCCCTAGTTTTGTCCCCAAGGCTGTGCACCCCCACCCCCTCCAGGAAGGCCATCCACCTGAAATAAAACCCTTCCAGCCCTGCGGTCCTCTGGTCCCATAGTGACCTTCCTGTCCCTAAGCAGGGACACGACCCTGCCCACACCTGCCCCCAACAGCAGAAGGAAGAGCCAGGCCACCGCCATGATCGGACACTTTAATTCCACAAGGGCGCAGCTCAGCTGCGGGAGGCGCCCACCAGCAGCCGGCCCTTTGCGCCCATGATTCCCGGACACTGACACTCCCAACACAGACGCACGCCCTCCTGTGCCCCAAGACGCACCCCGGGGTCCCACTGCCCTCATGGCCCACGGGGAGGGGCCCTAACAGCATCCTCACCCCGACCCATCCTCCTAGCGCCCAGGGCGCCCACGGCCCCTCTTGGACTTCTTGGTCCCTGAGGGGGGTCGGATGGGGAGGGGGACAGTGCTCGAGGGTGGTGGCGGTGGTGGCACCAGAGGAGGTAGAGGGGGCTCCGTGGGCTCCGGTGGTCCAGGGCTGGGCCGAAACCCCTCAAAGGGTGAGAACTTCAGGGGGCTGCAGGGGAAACATAGGCACAGTCAGTGCCTACTGGCTCTGGGGCAGGAGGGCGACCTGCCCACTTGCCTGGGTGCCCACCCAGGCAGCCCCTGCCACGAGGGGTCCCCGTGGTAGAGGGAAACAGGCTGACGCCGGCTAAGGGGCTCAGCCAGGCGGCCTCAGGGTTGGCGGCAGAGCCACAGCTGGAACTGGCCGCCTGCCGGGCTGCAGGTGCCCCGAGGTACCTGACAGGGGTCCGGGGGCTGCTGTTGAGACGCCTGGGGGAGCGCAGCTTGGGCTGGAAGGAGAAGCCCTCCCTGATGCTGTCCAGGACGGAGGGCGCCACGTACGTGAAGCCCTGGGGGTCAGAGCGGGGCCAGGAGATACTCAGCATCCACGGCTCCTCAGCCACCACCCCAGCCCACGTCCCAGAGCCCTCGGGCCCCCAGACCGCACCAGGAAGGCCTGGTTGGCGCTCTCACTGAGGGCCGTATCGTCTGGGCTGTCCACGGGTGTCTGCCGTGTGAAGCGGGCGTCAAACTGGCTCACGTCCTCCTCTGACTGCTGTGGACAGAGCCAAGTACGGAGAGGTCAGGGGGCATCCAAGATACGGGTTTGCCACCCGCCCCTGGGCCGGCAGGACCTCCACTCACCAGGCAGGGCCTGAAAGGGGGGTCCACACGGCGGGCCAGGAGATCGTCCCAATTAATGTGCCGGAAAAAGGGGTGCCTCTGTGGATAGAGGGCCCCCAGACATGCCAAGGGTTCACCTACTGTGGCTTCCTCTGGCCCCCCACCCCCCGTGGGGGTCCTAGACCCACCTGCACATCGGCAGCGTCCCCCGGGCCACCCCCCATCCGCTGGCTGGGATTCCGCTTCAGAAGCTGCAGGACAAGGGCAGGGGGTGAGGGTCAGGGACAGAGGTCTGCTCGTGTGTCGCCATGTTCCCAGGGGCCGACTGGGGTTGGGGGAAGGGAGAGGGGACAGAGAAGCAGGGAGAGAAGGCCTCTGGAGTGTGGTTTCCACCTACTGACACCCCCAAGGTTTGGTCCAGTGGCCGCTTCTCCACGAAGCCTTGGCGAAGGCATGCGGTTGCTGGCGTCACCCCAGGGTGCTTCAGTGGGGACCCGACTCTGCATGTGGCCTACCCCCCTCCCCCCGCCGTGCCCTGACCCCCTTTTCCGTGGAGGAGCAGCTAGCTCATCACAAAGAGTTTGCGGACTAGCACGCAGACTAAGGACTTGTGGGAGGTCAGCAGCTGCTGTGTCGGCGCTCAGCCCAGGCTCAAGGTCTGGGTGCCCGAGGCCAGTGTTCCTCCGTCCCAGAGGCGTGCCGCGCAGGCAGGAGTGGCTCTGGCTCCCCCAGGCCACACGGGAACCCGTGCAGGGCCTGGGAGAAGAGACGGAGGCTCGCCCAAGGGCAGGAGGCACCCACCTTTTTGACCAGGTCCCGGGCGTCCGGGGTGAGGTACGGGGGCAGCGCCAGCTTCCCTTTGACGATCTTGTCCATGGTCTTCTTCCGGTTCTCTGCGGTGAAGGGTGGCTGGAGGAGGCGGAGGGTGAGAGGAGCCCCGTGGGCCGCCCGCCGGCCCCTGCCCCTGCCCGGGAGAGGGCCCTGTCCCCCCACCCCGTCCGCTCCCGCCCTCCCAGGTGCTGGACTTGCCGATCCAGTGAGCATGTCGTACATCAGGGCCCCCAAGCTCCACCAGTCCACCGCCCGGTTGTGGCCGCTGCGCACCAGAATCTCAGGGGCCCTGCGGGCCAGGGGGAGCCATCAGCTGGGCAAGGCCCTTCCTGGCTGCTCCCCCGACCCCTGGACCCAGCTGGCTGCCCCTTACATGTACTCGATGGTGCCACAGAAGGTGTGGGTGACGGCGCCCTCATGAATCGACTCCTTGCAGAGCCCGAAGTCTGTCAGTTTGATGTGGCCTGAGGGCAAGTGTGGGAAGGGCGGTCAGGGACCCGGCCGCCCCGTGGGGCTCTGCAGCCCACCCGCCGGCTCCACCTGGTGAACGCGGCCACTGGCGCACCCTGGCTGTTGAGCATGATGTTCTCGGGTTTGAGGTCCCGGTAGATGATGCCCTGGGAGTGCAGGTGGCCCAGGGCCAGTGTGATCTCGCCCAGGTAGAAGCTGCAGAGACAGGGCAGGGTGAAGGCCATGGAGGTCCCTGGCACGCCCCCAGAGAGAGGCAGGAAGTAACACCCACCAGGCCGTGTCTTCCAGGAAGATGCCCTCTCGCTCCAAATGTGTGAAGAGCTCACCACCTGCGACACACACACGTCAGCAGCTGTGGGCCGGGCCCGAGCTCCTTCGCTCTCCGAGTCCGGGTTTCTCCTTGGGGAGAGTGGGGCTCGCATTCCCGCCCTACCTGCCTCACAGAGCTGCCGGGGGTCAATTCAGCAAACATCTACCGACGCCTACTCAGTGCCGGGCCCTGTGCTGGGTGAAGCTGGGGACACAGAGATGAAGAGACCCAGCCGTGGCCCTCAGGATGCTCAGTCTGAGAGGAGACAGACGTGCCAGACTGGGGCCACAGCCCGGAGAGCTTAACCCAAAACACCTCCCAGAGGAGACAAGGGAGGGCAAAATTAACCCCAAAGCAAGGGGACAGGAAGTCTGTGGTAGTTGTGGGACTTAAAGGCCATGCTGAAACAGAGCCCGGGGAATGAAGTCACGGGGCTCTGCTGGGACAGGTGGGCTCACGGGAAAAGCAGGCCTGGACCACTCTGTGGCGGCCAGGAGGCCCCAGGGAAGGGCCGGGCCAAGGCGGCCAGGCCCCGTCCAGGCAGTTATGGGGAGCCATGAGTTCTGAGGAGTGTCTGGAATAATGCTGGGCTCTGAGACAAGGCCCCGGGGCTGCTGGAGGAGACGCTAGGAGAGGGCGAGCCGGAGTTAAGACACAACTGCGCCTCCCCCTCCCCCAGAGAGAGCGCGGAGGATGGAGGACACGGTAGTGAGTGACCCAGCTGGCTTTGGGACCTGACTGCATGCAGGACACACAGGAGAGGAACAGGACATGAAGGGACACTGGAAATGGACAAAACAACCCTTAGACCTCTACCAAACCCACCCCTATTCCCATCCACCCCGGACACAGGTGAGGGACACACTAGGTGCTGGACAGATGTTTGCTGAATGAATGAATGAATGATGAGATGGACAGACAGACGGATGGATGGGTGTGGGGGCCCTCTAGCCACTCTACACACCACACCTCTCAGGCTCCCCCAGCCCCCAGGGCTGCTGGCACCAGTTCCTTGGCCCCGCCCATGCCCCCGGCTGGGCCCCGCCCATACCACTGAGGCACTCAAGGATGAGGTAGAGTTTGCCGCCGGTCTGGAAGGCGTAGGCCAGCTCCACAATGAAGGGATGCTTCACGGACTCCAGGATGTTCCGCTCCGCCCGTGTGTGCGCCGTGTCCTTGGCGTTGCGTACAATTTTGGCCTGGAGAGGCAGGAGATGCTTAGAAGGTGGGCACCTGCGGCCCGGCAGTCCCTCCCACTGTCCTCTCTCAGCAACTGTCTGTCCCTCCATTGTATTTGTCCAGGCCACTGCTGCTGTCAGCAACCCCTCCCAGGGACCGGCTTCTCTGCCTCGCCGCCTGGAAGGATAATTCCTTGGCGTGGGAGGCTGCCTTGTGCGCTGGAGGATACTTAGCAGCGTCCCTGGCCTCCAGCTGCTGGATGCCACTAGCACCCGTCTCTGGTCACGACTCCAAGGGGTACACAGGCCCTGCCGAATGTCCCCTGGGAGGCCGAATTGCCTGCGATTGACAATTACTGCAAAAACAATACACAGTCTATGCTGCATAATAACATTTTGGTCAACAATGGACCGCATATATGACAGCGGTGGCACAGATCATAATGGAGGTAAAAATTCCTATCTCCTAGAGACAAGGCAAAGTCCTAGCGCAACGCGTTCCTCCCTGTTTGTGGTGGTGCTGGCGTCAACAGACCTGCCCTGCTGCCGGCGTGTAAAAGGAGAGCACGCACGATCGCGGAGAGTAGATGGTACCCGGTCATGATGGTAAATGCCTGCGTTCCTGACGTATGCATGTACTACATGCATTTTCTTCTCTACTTTCGAGGACCTACAGGTGCCTTTTCTACAAGAGGCCACACCACTAAGACGAGGAGTCAGAGCAGCCCTGCCTAATGCACAGAAATGAAGACGGCGAGGCTGCCAAATTGAGGAGACAGAGAAACATGGCCCAAATCAAAGGACAGAACAAAACTCCTAGAAAAGAACTAAATGTAATAGAGATAAGCAACCTATCAGATGCAAGTTCAAAACACTGGGTACCAGGATGTTCTGGGAACTCACTGGGCACTTGAACGGCATAAAAAAGACCCAGGCAGAAACAAAGGTTACATTAAGTGAAATGAAGAAAAATCTACAGGGACCCAAGAGTGGAGGAGATAACACTCAGAATCAAATCAATGATTTGGAGCCTAAGAAAGAAGAAAGCATCCAATCAGAACAGCAAGAAGAAAAAAAGAGTTTGAAAAAAACCAAAAAAACGAGGATAGGCTAAGGAGTCTCTGGGACATCTTCAAACGTCCCAACATCCAAATCACAGGGGAGCCAGAAGGAGAAGAAGAGCAAGAAATTGAAAACTTATTTGAAAAAATAAAGAAAACTTCCCTAATTTGGTGAAGGAAATAGACATGCAAATCCAGGAAGCACAGAGAGTCCCAAAATAGAGGACCACACCAAGACACATCATAATTAAAATGCCAAAGGTCGCCCTGCCTGGTGTGGCTCAGTGGATTGAGCACCAGCCTGCGAACCAAAGGGTCACCCGTTCAATTCCCATTCAGGGCACGTGCCTGGTGTGCACAAGAGGCAACCACACTGATGTGTCCTTCCCTCTCTTTCTCCTTCCCTTCCCCTCTCTAAAATAAATAAAATCTTTAAAAAATATATCGAAGAGTAAAGATAAAGAGAGAATCCTTTTCTTAAGTCAATCTTTACCTCTTTTTTTTTTTTTAAGAGAGATGAAGGGAGGGAGAAAGAGAGAGAAACACTAATGTGTGGTTGCCTCTTGCACTTCCCCTACCAGGGACTGGGCCCACAACCTACTCATGTGCCATAGACTGGGCCATCAGACGGGCAACCCTTTGTTTTACAGGCCAGCACTCAATCCATTGAGACACACCAGGCAGAGCAAGAGAGAATCTTAAAAGCAGCGAGAGAAAGTCAGATAGTTACCTGCAAAGGAGTCCCCATAAGACTGTCAGCTGATTTCTCAAAAGAAATTTTGCAGGCTAGAAGAGACTGCCAACAAGTGTTCAAAGTTAGGAAAACCGAACATGGAGGCATAGGTAGACACACTGTGCCTCCTCACACAACCAAAAAAAGGACAGCAACAAATTTAAAAATAAAAAGCCACCAGAACTGACAGAAAATCAAACTGTATGGAAGTCTGACAACCAAGGAGTTAAAGAACAAACATTCACCCAGACTGGCAGGTGGGGCGAAGATGGGCAGCCAGATGGAGAGGACTCATGGCAAAGCTGGCAGACCGGGCGAGGTGGCTGCGGCTGGCAGACTGGATGGATCCACATTCGAGTGCAGGTAAACTAGGAGGGACAACTGGGGAGCAAGACAGACCCACAACCCAGGGTCCCAGTGGGGAAATAAAGCCGCAAACCTCTGGCTGAAAATACCTGTGGGGGTTGTGGCGGCAGTGGGAGAAACTCCCAACCTCACAGGAGAGTTTGTTGGAGAGACCCACAGGGTCCTAGAATGCACACAAACCCACCCACCCAGGAATCAGCACCAGAAGGCCCAATTTGATTGTGGGTATTGGGGGAAGTGACTGTAATCAGGCAGAGAGCGGAGCAAGCGCATTGTTTCCTCTTGGATCTTCCTCCACGCGCAGTGAGACACCTTAGTGAAGTGAGTTGCCCCACCCTGGTGAACACCTAAGGCTCCGCCCCTCACTATGCTCCAGGAATGCCAAGAAAAAAAAATGGCCCAAATGAAAGAAAAAATCAAAGCTCCAGAAAAAAATACAACTAAGCCACAAAGAGACAGCCGACCTATCAGGTGCACAGTTCAAAACACTGGTAATCAGGATGCTCACAGAATTGGTTGAATATGGTCACAAATTAGATGAAAAAATAAAGGCTATGCTAAGTGAAATAAAGGAAAATGTATAGGGAACCAACAGTGATGGGAAGAAAACCGAGATGCAAATCAATGTTTTGGATCAGAAGGAAGAGAGAAACATTCAACCAGAACAGAATGAAGAAACAAGAATTCAAAAAAATGAAGAGAGTCTTAGCAACCTCCAGGACAACTTTAAACGTTCCAACATCTGAGTCATAGGGGTGCCAGAAGGAGAAGAGGAAGAGCAAGAAATGATAAACTTATCTGAAAAAATAATAAAGGAGAATTTTCCCAATCTGGCAAAGGAAATAGACTTCCAGGAAGACCAGGAAGCTCAGAGAGTCCCGAAGAAGTTGGACCCAAGGAGGAACACATCAAGGCACATCATAATTACATTAGCTGAGATTAAAGATAAGGAGAGAATCTTAAAAGCAGCAAGAGGAAAGGAGACAGGTACCTACAAAGGAGTTCCCATAAGACTGTCAGCTGATTTCTCAAAGGAAACCTTGCAGCAAGAAGGAGCTGGAAAGAAGTATTCCAAGTCATGAAAGGCCAGGACCTACATCCAAGATTGTTCTGCCAAGCAAAGCTTTCATTTAGAATGGAAGGGCAGATAAAGTGCTTCCCAGATAAAGTCAAGTTAAAGGAGTTCATCATCACCAAGCCCTTATTATATGAAAGGTTAAAGGGATTTATCTAAGAAAAAGAAGGTAAAAAATATGAACAGTAAAATGACAACAAACTCACAGTTATTAACAACCAAACCGAAAACAAAAACAAACTAAGCAAACAACAAGAACAGGAACAGAATCATAGAAATGGAGATCACATGGAGGGTTATCAGCAGGGGAGTGAGGGGGGGGGGAAAGGTACAGAGAATAAGTAGCATAAATGGTAGGTAGAAGATAGACAGGGGCAGGTTAAGAATAGTATAGGAAATGGAGAAGCCAAAGAACTTACATGTATGACCCACAGACATGAACTAAAGTGGGGGGGAAATGTGGGTGGGAGGGGGTATACAGGGAGGAGGGGAATAAAGGGGGGAAATGGGACAACTGTAATGGCATAATCAATTATATTTAAAATTTTTTTAAAGTTATGAAAACCAAAGACCGACAACCTAGATTACTGTAAAGCTATCATTTAGAATGGAAGGGCAGATAAAATGCTTCCCAGACAAGGTAAAGTTAAAAAAGTTCATCATCACCAAGCCATTATTATATGAAATGTTAAAGGGAATCATAAGAAAAAGATCAGGACTTCCGCCAAGATGGAGGCATAGGTGGAGACGCCATGCTTTCTCACACAGCCAAGTTTAGAACAACTAAATGTTAGCAACAGAAAACACAGCCAGAACACAGAAAAATGAACTTTTCGGAAGTCTGATAACAACAAATTCTTCAACCTGACTGGTAAGAAGGGCAAAACCAGCAGCTGGTGGAGCGGGATTGGACAGGAAAACTCGGTCAGACGGACTCAGGCACGCGGAATCCAGGCACAGGGTTGGACCTAGTGAGCGACCGAGCAAGCGACCAAGCGAGCAACCGTGGGGAAACAGCGGGGGAGCAGGGCTGCGGGTTGACTGTGGTCGCGCGTTGGTGCATGGATAGACAAGCGAGGGAGTGGGTAATTGGACCAGGACCCAGCCTGTCCCTGCGGCAAGCGGCAGGGAGGGTGCCGCCATTTCCCTGCTCTGACCCCACCTCCACATGCAGCATCATAACCCAGCGACTCTGAGTGGCCTGGCCCAGGCGAACCACCTGGGCCTCTGGTCCTCACCCAGCAGTGCAAAACAGCAGAGGGGGCCGCCATTTCCCAGCTCTGACCACGCCCCCACATACAGCGTCGCAAACCAGCGACCTGGGAGTCCAAGGCTCCGCTCCTCACACTTAAAGGGCCAGAACAGACCAAAAATGGCTCAAGAAGATCTCAAAGCCCCAGAGCCTATAAATCTAAGCAATGAAGAAATAGCAAAACTCTCAGACGCACAGTTTAAAACACTGGTCATCAGGATCCTCACAGAACTGGTTGATTATAGCCACAAATTAGACAAACATATGAAGGCGAAACTAATTGAAAAGAATGGAATTGCACAGGACACCGATAGCGATGAAAAGGAAACTGGGACTCAAATCAATGGAGTGGACCAGGAGAAAGCAAATAATGGCCAAACAGAAAAGAGTCAAGAAGCAAGAATTCAAAAAAATGAGGAGAGGCTTAGGAACCTCCAGGACATCTTTAAACACTCCAACATCCGAATTATAGGGGTACCAGAAGGGGGAAGGAACAGCCACCAGTGGAAAACTTATTTGAACAAATAATAAAGGAGAATTTCCCCAATCTGGCAAAGGAAATAGACTTCCAGGAAATCCAGGAAGCTCAGAGAGTCCCAAAGAAGTTGGCCCAAGAAGAAACACATCAAGGCACATCATCATTATATTAGCCAAGATTAAAATGAAGGAGAGAATCCTAGAAGCAGCAAGAGATAAGGGGACAGTCACCTACAAAGGAGTCCCCATCAGACTGTCAGCGGATTTCTCAAAAGAGACCTTACAGGCAAGAAGGGGCTGGAAAGAGGTATTCCAAGTCATGAAATCCAAAGACCTACAACCAAGATTGCTCTATCCAGCAAAACTTTTATTTAGAATGGAAGGACAGATAAAGTGCTTCTCAGATAAGATCAAATTCAAGGAGTTCATCATCACCAAGCCCTTACTATATGAAATGTTAAAGGGACTTACCTAAGAAAAAGAAGTTAAAAAAACACGAACAGTGAAAGGACAGCAAACTCACAGTTATTAACAACCACACCTAAAACAAAAGCAAACTAAAACGACAGCTAGATCAGGAGTAGAAACATAGAAAGGAAGATCCCAAGGAGGGTTAGTAACAGGGGAGTGGGAGGAGAAGGGGGGAGAAGGTACAGAAAATAAGTAGCATAGACAGTAGATAGAAAATAAATGGGGGGCAAGAATAGTATGGGAAATATAGAATCTAAAGAACTTGAGACACATGGTCATAAACTAAAGGGGGGGTAATGGTGGGGACGGGGGGGGTAGGGTGGAGGGGAATGAAAGGGGGAATAGAACAACTGTAATGGCATAATCAATAAAAAAAAAAGTACAAATAGGGATTTACAGAATAGCCATGGGGTTGTAAAGCACAGTATAGGAAATGTGTGAAGCGTGGACATGAACAATGGTGTGGGGATTGCCTGAGGGAGTGCTGGGTGCTGGGTAGAGGGGGAGCAAAGGGGTTGGGATGACTATAATAGCATAATCAATAAAATATAATTAAAATAAATATAGAAAAAAGAAAAAGATCAAAACTGAGAACATTAAAATGGCAATAAATTCACAACTATCAAGAACTGAATCTAAAAACCAAACTAAGCAAACAAGCAGAACAGAAACAGAATCATAGATGCAGAGATCATTTGGGGGGTTATCAGTTGGAGAGGGGAGGGGGAGAATGTGGGAAAAGGTGGTGCAGGGATGAAGAAGTACAAATTGGCAGATATGAAATAGACAGGGGAGGTTAAGAACAGTGTAGAAAATGGAGAAGCCAAAGAACTTGTATGCACAACCCATGGACATGAACTAAGGTGGGGGTGACTGCTGGAGGGAAGGGGTTACGGGGTAGGAGGGGGCAAAGGAGGAAGAGTCAGGACAACTGTAATAGTATAATCAGTAAAATATATTTAAAAGATAAATAAATAAATAAAAATCCACCCCCGCCAAAAAAAAAGTTTGCCGTAAAACAGTGCCGCGTTACTTCGGCCGCAACCTCGTGCATCTCGAGTTTACAGCGTATCTGGATTGTATCACTTTCTCTTGTGCTAGATTCTATCTCGTGCTGTCTTGTATAGCAATGCGCTGTGTAGGCTTATATCCCAGGAGCAGTAGGCGCCGCCACACAGCCTCACTAGACCACCTGGGTTGGGTCAGGTGCCTCTGCGATCGATGTTCAACACACGCCGAAATCGCCCAACAACGCACTGCTCAGTATGTAAGCCCTTGTTAAGCAGCACATGACTGTAATCACCATAGACAGCAAACTGGCAAATGACCACGACAGGGACTGTCTCCTCCATCGTGCTCACTGCTGTCTTCCCAAAACCTAGTGCAGTGAATCTGGAACGGCGGCCACTCAGTGAAGATTCGCTGGCTGAACGAAGACTCACCTTCCTCAGGACTTTCATGGCATATATTTTGCCCAAGTTGGTGCCCTGCACTTTTCGCACCTGGAACACCTGCAGGGCAGGGGAGACCGGATCAACTTCCCTCTCCACACCCTGTATTTGAAAGGCCCCCACCCTGATACTTGGGACCAAGAGGCTGACATCCACCCGAGGGTGGGGCAGGAAAGATTTCCAGTCTGACTCTGAGAGGACTTGCCCCTCCCTCCTTAATGTTTCTGTCTCTGAGTTCTGTCTGGGGCTCTCCTGATTTACAAGTCTGTTTGTTTGGAGACGTCTTTGTTGGTAGGCCAGTGAGGAAGGAGGTAGGGCCCCTACCTTGCCATAGCCCCCCTTGCCCAGCACACGCAGCAGCTCAAAGCAGTGGGGCCCAATGCGCTCAGGGCCAGGGTTCACACTGGTCTCAGTCAGCTCCACCTCCTCATAGTGTCCCACAGGCCTGTGGACACAGGAAGTGAATGGGGGCAAGGCTCCATACTCCCCAGTTCCCTTCCCCAGCCCATTGCTCCTCCCCCATCACGACCCTCACTCACTCCAGGCCAGCCGCCCTCAACTCGGCAAGGGGACACACATCCTGTGAGAAACCGAGGGGTAAGAGGCGAGGGAGGTACCAGGATCCCTCCCCCCCAAGCTGGGCTACTTGGCTCAGGCGAAGAGAGGGTCAGGAATGGGAGCTGGCAGTTGACGCGCCAGGACTGGGGAGGAAAGGACGAGGGCAGAAAAGGGAGAATCAGGGGAAAGGCTAGGGTCCCGGACGGCAGGTCAGGGTGAGGGTGGGGTAGGAGCTTACTAGAGGCCGAGATCTGGGGGAGAAGGGGGTGTGCAAGAGTAAACCTACTCTGGGTGGGGGAAGCCGAGGCAACCCCATCGCCAGGATGATGAGATAGGCTCCGGGATCGAGCCCCGCCAGGGCAGACCACTCACCGCAGGGAACTCTGGCTCGCCCTCGCCCTCGCTGTCTTCCTCTGTCTCCAGATCGAGGTCAAACACGGCCGCCATGGAGGCGCCGGCCCCACGGGCCCCTCAGCCGGTGCCTGGGCCCTCCGTGACTGACAGCCCGGGCAGGGGCTGACGTTATCACTCTGCGACAGCGGCGGCGCGCTCCTATTACGCAAGAGGCATCGCCCTCACTGGAACCGGCTGTTTGGACTTGCGAGGAGAAAATATGGCGTCCGTCGCAAGGCCTCTCGGGAATTGTAGTTTCAGGGTGCCCGAGTGCCAAAACCTACGGGGTCTATCTTTGAAATTCTCAAGTCCTCAGAGCACAGCTCCCGGAGAGCGGCGCCGGACAGCGGCAGCCTGGGAAACTACCATCTTGGCTCTTGGAGAGAGTTAGAGTTTGAAAGGGGCACAGTCGGTTGCATCAGCCTCTCCCTATAGTGCCTCCAAGGCAGCTGCAGGTCAGAGCATTTACTTGGGTGACTGCTCCGTGCCCAGCTTACCTCCGGGCTTTGTTGTTAGGTTCCTGCCAGAAAGGATTTGGGTCTTATTAATCTACCTATAAACATGGGCTTATGTCGAAATTTGATCCGGGGCCAATTTAAGCACATTTAGTAATCTTGGCTACCTGGTGCAGAATAGGTGCTTAATTAAACTGTTAAAGGAATCCCTGGCTATTATGGATCAGTGGATTGAGTGCCTGCCTGCGAACCAAAGGGTTGCCGGTTTGTTTCCCAGTCAGGGCACATGCCTGGGTTGCAGGCCAGGTCCCCAGATGGGGGCGCACAAGAGGCAACCACACATTGATATTTCTTTCTCTCTCCCTTCCCTCTCTCTAAAAAAAAAAAAAAGACAACTTTGTTTAAAAAGTGAGTGAAGATTTGGCCATGGATTCTCATTGGATGGGGCTCCGAGAGGCTGAATTTGGGCTAGATGAGGCCTTGGATGAGTAGATACAAACTCAGACAGACAGATCTCAGGGGTCTCTGGGCTGGAGGAAGGCTATCTGTTATGTGATCCTCAGGTTTGGGGGCCAGCAGGGGTGCCCCCAGCAGGCTCCCACAGGTCAACTCGAAGGCCCGGCCAGTGTGGCAGTTATCCTTAGCTCCAGATGCTGCGGGTATCTTCTAGCCACCTCTCCCTCCTCCCTTCCCCAGCCCCGTCTAGCTGAGCCTGAGAGGTGTCCAAGTCGCAAGAACTTGTCCCAGATTCTGGACATTCCAGTAGTCCTTAAGCCTTTATTTGGAGAGGGATGCTTGTGGAGCAGGAGTTCTTAAAGCAGACTGCCCTGAATTAGGAAGGGAGCGTAGATCCTCCTCTGCCAGTGCTAGTTAGGTGCACACCAGAGGCCAAAGCATCCAAGCTTGGTGCAGAAGATGCCTGGTGCATGAGAGGGGGCTGTTCACGTGTGTCAGGGCCACATATGAATGAGGGCAACGAGGTGAACAAGGCCTAGAAACTAAGTGGGCACATAAGACTTAGTAAAAGCAGGAACTTGGGCCCTAAATTTTTTCCCTCATCATTCCATCCACTCTGACATAAACTTGAGGCTGTGGTTTTTCCTCTTTGAGCATGTTTCCTCGTCTGTAGAATGAGACAGTTGTGTCTGCTTGGAGGGGTGATGGTATCTGCTGACCCCAGGCCACCTGCCTCTACTGCTCAGGTCACACGAGGCAGGTGCGACACTGCCAGAAGTTGTCAGCAGACTCTAGAACGCTCCTGGAATTTGTTAAAGGAGGTGGTGAGAATCAGAGGATGGGGTTTAGTTTCAGGTTTTCTTGGGATTTGTCCAAGGCCAAGGGCCTGTCCGGTTCTCTCCTGTGGATGGGAGGAATAGAGACACTTGGAGGGGGTGGGGAGGATGGGCTGGGTTTAGGCCCACTCCCACCTCCCTGCAGGTGGGGCAGGGTATGGGTATGTGGGCCTATGTGCAACTGTTGTCACCTCTCCCTGGCCAGAGTCCTGGGGGCAGCTGAGAGTTGGACTGTAACTTTTGGGAGGGCAAGAGGGCCCCAGGACACCCCAGTTACTTTTTTTGTGGCCCTTAAGCCCAGGAGGCCTGGTATCAAAATGGCCCTGCTGCTCTGCAGGGACCGAGTGAGGCCAGCCTTGGGGAAGGGCTATGGGAAGAGAGGCAGGGAGAGTATCAGAAAGCAGAAGGCACCACAGGGCCACCTCCAGCATTTTGCCCCTGCTCTGGCCCCAATGCTATTTGAAGTGGGACAGAAAATGAGCAACGGGATAGTGGGGTCCATCGATGCCCAGGCCCTGGCAGAGGCCCAGCAGACGCAGGCGGGCCTCAGCCAGGCTGGGCCCAGCACAGGCCACACTGCAGTAGGGCTCCTCATACTCGCCAGGCGCCCGGACCTCCTCCAAAGATGCAAACTGATTGAAACGCAGCAGGCCCTGGTCATGAAGAGCCTGCAGAGCTTCTTGACTGGCAGTGGAACTCAGCACCTGCAGGTGCTGGGACACTAGACCAATGACACCCACCAGGTGGCCACTGGCCCGTGGGTGGGTGGGCAAGGCAGGCCGCAGGCCACAGGCCACCATAGCAGCAGCCAGCAGCAGGTCCACACCGTAGAGCTCCAGGATCCAGTCTCGCAGGTAGAAGCCACCCATGCGGGGGTTGATCTCGATGAGCCGAGGCCCAGTCCTGGTCAGCTTGAGCTCCACATTGAAGACGCCATCCAGCAGCCCACAGCCCAGGCAACAGCGGAAGGCCGCCTGCACCAGCTGCGCCTCCTGCTCCGGACCCAGCCCAGTGGGCATGCAGGCTGCTGTCTCAGTAAAGCCGGGGAGCCGCGTGGGGCCATTGTCAGAGACAAAAGCAGCCAGCAGTCTCCCACTGAACAACACCAGGTCCACATCATGCTCCGTGCCCTCAATGAACTCCATCAGCAACATGGAGTTGCCCCAGCCCAGCCCAATGCCAGGGTGATCTGCCTCGCCCTGCAGGTCATGGGCAATCTTAGAAAAGTGCTGGTGGCACTGTGGTGCATCCTCTACCAGCCGCACACCCACCGCGCCTGCTCCAAACTCCAGCTTCATGACGCCTGGCAGGGGCACCTGGTGGACAGCCCTCTCCACATCAGCCTCACTTTCCAGGGGGAAGCAAGGCACAGCATGGAGGGAGGGCGCAGGCCAGGGCGGGCCTTGGCAGTGTAACAGATGCAGTTGGGTGCGGCTCTTCTGCTTCGCCAGGCGCATGGCAGCTGGAGGGTTGCAAGGCAGACCCAGCTCCTGGCAGAGCAAGGCTGTGAGCACCAGGCAGTCGTCCCAGTAGGAGAAGCAGCCATCTAGCTGCAGCCCGCGTGCCCGCACCAGCTCCGCCAGCAGCTGTGCATTCTCCTCATCCCGCTGGTGCTCTGTCACATCGAAATGGATGAAGGTCTGCACCAGCTGGGATGCAAAGTGGTTGGGGTCTGACTCCACCAGGTGCAGCTGCAGAAACCACAGGAGGGCAACCCACTCAGATGAGCCTGTGCCAGGTGCTGGGGAGACAGATGGGGGCCTAAAAGGTGGTCTTGGTCCTCAGGGCAGATGAGGCTGCCAACATTAGGTGCTCAAAAATATTTGTTGATTATTGAGTAAATGGAAGGTGCCCCAGGGGTGGGACACTTCACCCAGCCTGGAGGGGAGATGTTAAGGCATTCTAGAGGAGGCAGTGATTAAGCTGAGAGCTGAATGAGAGGCTGCCAGAGGAAAGCTGGCTGCAGGAGGAAGAAGGCAGAGGGGAAGGGTGAGGAGAACAAGTGGGCCCGTTCCAAAGACAGCCTCACTCTGGCCAGGGCTTGTAGGGAAACCACCAGTTTGGGGGCTTGGGACAGGTGGTCTGTTGTGTTTGGGCATTATGCTCTTGGTCATCATTTATACAGGTGTCCTGACAGTGGGAGGTGCCCACGGAAGAATCTGGGGGGCCACGCCTCCAAAACTCACTGCCCACTAGGGGAACAAACACAAAACAGCTGGTACTGAGGGCAGAGGCAGCCCCTGAAGAGGGCAGGGAGGGCAGCACTGTAGCCCTCGGCACTGTGAAGAGACAGTCCAGATGAATGCAGTGTAAGGCAGGGGAGGAAGAAGTATAGGAATGGCTGGAGGGGAGGGTTGCCAAGGGCGTGTTGTACTGTGGGAGAGGGGAGAGGAGGCCACTGTGGTAGGTTGGGGCCAGAAAAGGCCTGGACCTTCGGCCTCCCTTTTCTTATCTGTTCAATGGGGATAAGAATGTCTGGGGGGCCTGCATGGCCCCAGATTCTGTAACAAGACCACTGTTTTGAGTGTGATTCTGGATCAGTAAACTGCTCCCCAGCATACTCCTCGCGTTGTCAGGAATTCAACCTCAAAGAAGTGCCTGACGTTTTTGTAGGACAGGGCCAGCCAGGCTCCTTAGCCTGGCATTCTAGGCCGGGTTCTGGATGCTGTCCCCGCTCCTCCACTCCTCCAGCCTGTTCTATCCTGAGCTCCACTTAAAACTGACCGGAACAGCGTTGGGCTAGCGGCTGGGCTAACTTCTACAAAGTTAGAACTTCTACAAAAGTTGGGCTAACTTCCAACCTGGGCCAGGGGGCGGGCCCCGAAGCAGACAGCCCCGCTCAGACCCCGCCCCTAGTGGCGCGGGTCTCCACCCCAAAACCGCCCCACCCCTGCCGCCTCCACCATTTAGACCAGCTCCCAGGCCTGGCTCCGCCCCTCGCCCCGCCCACCTTGAGCCCGTAGTCACGCGCCGCCTCCCACACGAACTTCTTGCTGACCCCGCCGCCGCCGACCACCAGCAGATGCTTTCCCTCCATGAGGCAGCGCGCCGAACGGCGCAGCATGGTTTCCACGAGCGGCGCGGCAGCCGCCGCCTCCTCAGTGGCCGATCTCGAGCGCGGGGCCGCCCAGAGCCCCTCGAGCGCGCCGCACGCCTCCAGACACAGGCCGCTGTTCAGCTCTAGGGCCACGGGGATCAGCGCGCCACCCGCCACTGTCAGCGCGAAGTCCACGCCTGGGCCGGGCAGGGGCGTGGGTTCAGTGCGGACCACCTCCGGCCTTCCTTGCCCCCCTCCCGCCCCACCCCAGCCTCCGACCCGGACCTCCCGCACTCACCGACGAAGTCGGTGCTGGCCAGGCGCCCGCCGCGCTGCTGGGCGCTCAGACCAGCCTCCAGGGTCAGCACCGCAGCCAGAGCAGCCTCCGCCGCCGCCTTGACGCGCTGCCGGAAGACCGCCACCTGGGCCTCCTCGCCCAGGCCGCACTGGGCCAGCACCACCTCCAAAGTCCGCGGCAAAGAGTTCTGGTGCCGCAGAGGCCGGTCCACACGACCCGTGGCGCACACCACCTGGGCAGGGTGTGGCTCGGAGGACAGACGGCCAAGGAGTCCTCCTTCCAGAACTGCCCCCCACCCGTGCATGCACACCTCCCCCTGTGCCAAGATCCAGGCCAGACCCCTCTGGACATTCATGAAGCCCTGTTCTCCAACGCGACTTACACTGCACACCACCTCCGCTGCCACTGCCCATCTGGTTCCTAGACCCCTGGGAGGGTATTCCACCCGGGGTTTCCAGGCCCAGCTGGAGTCTCTGCTCCCTGAGGGCCCCAAGCACACTGGCTCCTAGCTCCTGCAGCCCCGCTGGCCTGTGCTACCCTGGTGTGCCCCAGCCCAGGGACACCCTGCAGACAGGACCGAGTCTCCCCGTCTCAGCTTGGCCCAGAGCTGTAACCCAAGAGGGTGCCCAAGCCTTCCTGAGCTCCCTAGCTTGCAGACCCCTCCCTTCTAGGCACTGGAAGTTTATCAGGGAACCTGGGTCAGCCTCTCCTGCAGGCAAGAGCTCCCTGGGAAGAGTATTCAGCCCTGAGCTGTGGGCCCCAGTGTGGGGGGAGGTGCGGGGGTGGGGGGAGGGAAAGTGTCAGACCCAGGAGTACCCACAGAGGTAACCAGGATCCCCCCTTCAAAGATGTTGTCCCCACTCACCTTGCTCAACAGGGGCCTGTCACCCTGCGTCCGGCACACCACAGCGCAGATCCGAACAGCCAGCTCGGGGCCAGTGGGAGCGTTGCCTGGGGGAAGGCCAGGGAGGCCTGAGCCCAGCACAGAGCAGCCGGGAGGCCAAGCCAAGCTCCCACCCGCACT